TTAAAATGCAAAGTGTCCAAGCAGCAAGAGTGCCAATATACATTACAGAACTGTTATACACTCACAGTGTAACACAAGGTAAGCGGGAGAAAGGGATGGTGTGAGATACTATGGAATGGAAGAGATAGGTGTTTCTGATACACTGAGGTACATACAAAAATTTGGACAGCTGTAACATGTTTTCATTAAAAGTGTGTACACAGATATCTACTAGCAATCTATACTGGTAGAAACATGACTTAAAAAATAATGGCCAATTTTAACACTTGTTATCCCTTGATTATTGGATAAAGGGTATCTTTACTCTTTGTGTCTCTGTACTATTTCAATCTTTGTAAGAAGTGTGTATTATGTAAAAAGGACAAAAAGCCAGTAATACAGTCTCCCTTCACCTTGCAGCCTTTTCTCATGATCACCTGACTTTTCCTTCCTCTGAAAGTCGGGTTTTGACGGAATATTCTATCCGCCGTCACTGCCCCTGCCAGAACGTGCACCCGCCAATCTGGCTTCCCCCCTCGCACTCCACTAGATTCTGCTTCTTCAGTCACCACTGGCCGGTCTTTTCTAGTCCTTTCTTACACGGGTTCTCGGATGCATTTAACAAAAATGAAGACTTCGTGCAACCCTCCTCCTTAATCCCTGACCTCCCCCTCCCCGGGCCCCTCTCGCTTCTGGGGGTGCTCTTCCTCCTCTTGACTTTGACATGTCACCTGTCATGTCTCCGCATCTCAATGCTGTTCAGCCACGCGGCCTGCTCCACACAAGTAATGCAACTCCATCCACGAGTGTGCTACCAACCGAGAGCCTCAAAACTCCCGTATCTCCAATCCAAGCTGGCAGCTGCTTGTTTTTTTTACATTGTCCATAGGACATTCTACAAGCAAAATAAACCCAACACACAGAAAACAGAACTCATTGCCTTCTTTACATTCATGTTCAACTCAGCAGATTCAACGCCAAGAGATTCGGGGTCAGTGACAGCAGCAGCTGCGGGTAGGCACGATAGGCCTGCTGACCCCTGGACCAATCACTCACTTCAGGGCGCAAGCCCTCGGCCACCTTCCGGGCAGGGACATCGGCTCTCGCAGCCGTGAAGGGACCTGGGGACGAGCATTTCTAAGAAGCACCTCAAGTGATTCTGACGAAACCAAGCCCTGGACCTGGTTTCGCAAAAACACAGCTGCTGAGTCGCAGAATGAAATTCTAAGTCCTTAGCGTGTCCTCCAAGGTTCTTCGTGATCTGACCCCCAACTGCCCGACCAGACCCATTTTCAATACAAAAGAGTAG